AATCAGTTTTCAGATAAAAATACCATAAAATCACATTAATTATGACCGATAAGGCCTTCAATTAGCAGTTTAAACACTAAAATACGAACAGATCAAATAAACAAGCAACAGATAGAATACAATTCAAACGTACATACTCAGTCAATTCAGTTCCAGTTTCGGTCAGTCAGTTCAGTACTTTTAATCAGTTCAATCATCAGTCATAATCAATTCAGTTTAACGGTAATCGATGGTTATCGGTAATCAATCAGTCATTAATCGGTAAACAGTATGAGGGTTGTTGCAGTAACAGAATGAACATATGGTATAGATGAAAACATATTCGAAATCATGGAGGGCATAAACTGAAAGTTGGAAGAAAATAAGGAACTCACAGTTGGGTCCGAGGTCGAGGACACCGATTTGAGGTACGCTGGAGTCAGACGGTGGCAATGAGTGGAGAAGAACAGTGCATGCTTCACCGGAGGAGGTGATTGAAGCAAGTTGCAGAGCTTGAATATTTGAATAATGGCGATTTTGGAAGAAGCTTTAGAGAGAGAAAACTTGAGCAAAAATGAAGGAATACAGAGTGAGGAGATGGAAAGAGAGGGAGAAGTTTTGTTAAAATGCGAAAAAGAGGCAAACCATAAATGATATGCCTTGGACGACGTGTCTGTCAGGCGACGTGCGCAGAAGCGACGCGACCTAATAGCGTGTGTCAGGTACAAATCAATGAGAGAAGGACGCGTAGATGAAACGGTTGAGAAAACCGTGCGTAACAGCTCATGCGCAGATAAAACTCTTGGAGTTCTTGATTTAATGAAGCAAAAACCTCGGCTAGAGGAGCGATCTCGGTTAAAGAACTCTAAAGAACTTGAAGAACTTGGTTCTTGAGTCTTGGTTATATGAAGCCGACGTGTAATAATCTCGGTCATGAAGTAGGAGTAAGTCTTAGCCGACGTGCTATGTGGACAAATGATGTAGGTTCCATCACCTCAGGATGCCGAGGTAATGGAACCTAGGGGGCAGTTGTGGGAACATATTTTGTGAATGGCAACACGTGGCCAATGTGACGCCGAAATGTAAGCCGATGTGCCATGTGTCTTGGTCATGACGCCGAGGTCATCTTGGCTAGGCCGAGGTTATCTGCGGAGATACTGGAATCCGAGAGGAGCGAATAAGGGACAAGAGTCCTAGAACTGGGGAGGACCTCGGTATGGATAAAGATAAAGCTCTTAGGGAGTTTATTTCTATCCAGTTGAGAGTCCAAGATGAGCATTGAACCAAAGTCCATTAAAACGAGGCTTCTACAGGATCAAGTTAGTACTGGCTATAAAAGTAAGGCACCCTCATGGGTCTAAGGTATACTTTTTGTATTTTGGCTAGTGAGTGAAACATTATTTGCTATTTTTGAGAGATAACTGAGTATTAACTTGATCGTCGGAGTGCCCCCGGGTAGACGAACCACCGCCAGTATTCTTATCTTTTTGTGATAGGTTATTCGAGCGTGATCTATTCTGTCTGTGCTCTTCTGCTGAGTTCCTGCTGGGCAGTGTGGTCGGAAATCAGCACCCACATCTAGTTAACTTGATTTTTTGTATGAATAATACACTCAATGAATCTTACAATATAAACAGTTCGAATCATCGAAAAAGACTTGAAAAAAGCTTCCACAAGTTCACAGCGGATCGCTGCTGTGACTTATCCCATGTCCGAGGATAATTAGTCCCTTTGACAAAATTTGAAAATTAAATTTAAGATTATAACTTTTTAGATTTATAATGCTTTGAATAAGTTGTAAAAATATTTTTATATTGTATTGAACAATATGTGAAAAAGTTGAAGTTGTTTGACAAAAGCTACTTATGGTTCGTTTGGATGTGAGTTGGCATTTTAACTATTTTAGTGTGAGGTTAAAAAATCTTGTTTGTTGTTGATTTTTTGGATTTTTTGACTTTTGTGAGAGAAAAAATGAAATGATTATGATTTGGATGTGACATTTTAACTTATTAGCTTTTTAATCTATTTTATTTTTCTTGTAACTATTTTAGTCCAAACCATTTATGCCAAACGAGTGCTTAAAATATTAACTGGCCTTTTTATCCAAGGTACAAAAGCTTAAAAAGTTAACCTAAAAAAATCAAATTAGCTTAGACAAAAACTAATTTTTTCTAGCTAAAAATATATTAATGTTTAAACTATGTAAAGGCATCTCCAACAGTGTATCAAATTTGTCATAAAATCTGAGTAAAAATTTGACCAAATCCCATATCTGATATCAGCTACTCCAATGGTGAAATTGTAGCTGTCACCAAAACACAAGTCATCCAGGTGGACGACCGGCAAGTCGATCGGTAAGAGTAACTCAAACAATGTGTTTCCCTCAATTTCGGTTTCCTCAATTCCTTTTTATTCATTTTCCCTCCATTAAATATTTTCTATTTCTTTTTACCTCCTTTAATTATTTCACTCCAAAAATAGATATAAACAGATTAAACCATGTACTATATAAATTCAACAAATCATGTTGTATCTAGAACCAACCCTAACTGGAAAACAGAGCATAATGACTAGCTCAATTTCTTATCTGTTCACTGATTTTTCATTATCTTCTTCTTCCTCATCCTCTAATGATGAAAGTGATAATGAAAAAATTGTTGCAATTTTGTGTCTTTATGAGATAAATAATGCGTTTATGATACAGATTTTGAGAACAAGTCATCAATCAAAAAAAGAGATGGTTTTGTTGTGGGATATAAATACATCGTCATGATAGAATAAAGGGCCATGATAGATTGTTTGCGGATTATTTTGCGGCAAATCTAGTTTATTCACCTATAACATTTCAAAGACGCTTTAGAATGCGTCGTCATCTGTATCTGCAAATTTTGAATGCCACTGAAGCATACGATACATATTTTGTTAAAAAAAAAAGATGCAACTCATATCCTTAGATTGTCTCCACTTCAAAAAATGACTTCAACAATTAGAATGCTCTCACATGGAGTAGCAGTAGATGCAGATGATGATTATGTGTGAATTGAGGAAAGCACGACAATTGAAAGTTTGAAACACTTTTATAATTCAATAATTGAAATCAACAACAACTGATATTGCTAGATTACTTGTTATTGGGAAGGTTCGTGGGTTTCTGGGTACGTTAGAAAGTTTAGATTGCATGCATTGGTGTTTTTAGGACTTCTATCTTGTTTCTTTTTCTTTTTTCGTTTTTTTTTTAATTTTTTTAATTCACCTTCGCCTTTTTGTTTTTGTTTCAACAAGCATGAGTTGAAAAATTAATGGAAAATCTTCCAAATCTACCTTGCTTGATTTGGAATTTTCAAAAATAAAATTTTAAATTATCAATTTGTATTTTATTATTTTTAATGATTTTTTCATATTTGCTTTTTTTTTTAGTTTTTAAATTCATTTAATATAGATATACTTAAAAAGTAAAAAAAATTATGCAAAATTTCTAAAAGAATTCATTGAATACAAAAAAATAAACAAAAATTTAGTATATTTTTATATTTTTTTTCATTTTTTTTTTTTTTATAAAATTGTACAACTTTTATAATTTCTAAATGTATCTAGATTATGTAAATTTAAATATATTTTTTTTCATTTTTTTTATTTTTATAAAATTGTACAACTTTTATAATTTCTAAATGTATCTAGATTATGTAAATTTAAAAATTAAAGAAAATTAATAAAAAATTTAAAAAATTCACCACAACCCACGCGAATTAAAAAGTGAAAAAATTGTTTTTAATTTAGAATTTAATTGACATTTTTTAAATAAATTTATCTATTTAAGTTACATCATCTCTTAATTTTTTTACCTATCTTTTATTAAAAAATAAAAATATGCTTATTTAAATTATTTCAAATAATCCCTTAATTTTATGATTAATGATTTATCCATCAAATATTTAGTCAAAAAATATAATTATTTAAATCATTTCAAATATAATCCCTTAAGCTATGTTTGACATAGGTTATTTGGGCTAAAATAGCCACAAAAAAGACAAAATAAATTAAAAAGTCAATAGATAAAATATCACATTCAAACCATAATCATTTTTTTTTTCTCACGAAGTAAAAAAAAAATCAAAAAATCTATTGCAAACGAGGCTTTTCAACCCCAAATTAAAATAATTAAAAAGTTAAAAAATCAACTCACATCCCAAACGAAATTAATAATTTATCTATGAAATTTGTTTGGTCTCAATTCACCCGAATCATACCTCGGAGATTCATTTTAGATAAAAAAAAAAGAAGAGGGATAAATTACAAATATATCTTATGAGATTTACTTAAAATACGAATTGTTCATGTGGTTTAGAAGATTACAAATGCTTAATGTCAGAATTTTTTATTTAACAGAATTAATTGAAAAAGTGAAATTTCTAACTGTTCACCTATACAATAATAAAATTACTGAATTATTAATTGAAATAAAATTTTAACATTATTAAAAACTGTTAATTAACTTGATGATTTATTAATAAAATGACCTATTTATTATGAAATTAGAAACCTTAAGATACATGATATAATTTCTAGAATCACATGGAGTAATTTGTAATTTAAGTAAACCTCGGAAACATGTTTGTAATTTACCAAAAAAAATCATTCAGACTGAGAATTATTTTGAGAAGATACTTAAAAATTAATTTTTTAATTTTTTTAATTTTAAAAAAGCATATAAAAAATAATATAATTTAAAATAAATTAAAAAATAAAATATAACTTTTAACCATTTTTAAATTAAAAATTATTTCTCAACTTTTAACCTACTTTTCTTTTTTTTTTTAAAAAAAAAAATAAAAAATAAAAAAAATCAAAAAAAATAACTTTTAACTATATTTTCATTTAAAAAAAAATAAAAAATAAAAAAAATAAAAAAAAATAACTTTTAACTATATTTTCAAAATAACAGAGTCGGTAGAGCTTGGTGTTATTCATCAAATTCAGACTATTCATGATGGTACGTACTCATGATGACGTCACAGTTCAATGGTGTGTCTCGTGTTTGTACGCGTCTCTCAAAACCACTGTACACACTCGAAGTGGCCCTAGTTTTCACATTAATGGCTTCCACGATTGGAACAATACATTTGGGGGTCAATCATCATCGACAACATCATCATCAATCTCTCACTGCGCTTTATTTTTGCTATACAATTTTGACTTGTAGTAGTAGTGATTGAGACTGTTGTTAGAATCAGAATGTTGAGTTGTGGAATCAACTCCGATTTGCCTCCGATTCCACAGTGTCTGCCATTGGAACCGATTAATCTGAGCAACCAGAAATACACTCGATCTGGAGAGCTTAGGAGGGTTCTTGGTGTTTCTATTGGGACTGGTAATAATGCTTTGGAGGACTGTTGTTTGAAGAATCACCCTCCTGTGGCCACTGAGGAACTGAAGAATTTCAAGGATTGTGTTCAAGATGGTTCTAGAAAGGCCAGGTGATTGATTCTATTACTTACTCAGTTTGTTGAAACTGTGAATTAATTCCCTAATTGCAAAATAGATTGCTGTTTTCACAATAATGTGTTTCATGGTTTATGGTGTGAATGAAAATGGTATTTTTGTCTATTTGTTTACCATGTTTTGGAAATTCATGAGAAGGGTTTTACTTTTGCTAATCAGCTGACTTGAAGGGAGAAAAGAATCAACCATTTGTTTGTTGTTGTTGTGAGTTCATAGTTGAAAATATTTGTCTCATTTTTTGTTGAAAGGAAATGGTGTTTCTCTATAATTTGCCTTGTTTTGGAAATTCAAAAAAATGCTGAATGGAAAAAAGAATCAACCATTTGTTGCTGTTGTTGTTGTTGTTGTGAGTTCATAGTTAATTCATTTATTGTTGAAAGGAAATGGTATTTCCCTCTAATTTTGTCTTTTTGTTTACCATGTTTTGGAAATTCACGAAAATTGAGTTACTTTTGCTAACCAGCTGACCTGAAGGAAAAAACAAAACAAAAAAAAATTTGTTGTTGTTGTTGTTGTTGGGAGTTCATATTTGAAAATATTTTTGTAATTAATTCATTTCTTGTTGAAAGTGTCATCTATGTTTTGGAAAGTCATGAAAATGGTTTTGCTTTTGCCAATCAACTGACATGAAGGGAAAAAAGAATCATCCATTTGTTGTTTTTGTTTTTGTTTTTGTTATTGTTATTGTTATTGTTATTGTTATTGTGAGTTCATAGCTGATATTAATAATTGTGTAATGGAATTAATTTGTTTCATATTGAAAGGGGAAGATTGGGATTTGGTTACTCGTTTTGCCTCTTGGAGCATGGCTAGTTTAGTTTTATAACTATCAAAGATTTGATGATTTTCAAGCAGGGATAGAGCAAAAATGTTGAGTGAATCCATATCTAAACTGGATAAGTATAGGAAAGCTTTAATAAGCTCAAAAAAGCGACAGAGGAATGATCTCTTATCAAACGAAAGGTCAGGTGGAGCAAGTGTGTCAAAGGTGGGAAGTCAAATTCTTCGAAATCCTAATGATCATGCAACTCAAAGATTTGAGGATAAAACAACTCGGACCACTGGGCTTGGGCTTAAGAAGCGCATTCGAACTTCAATGGTATTTGAGAATAAACTTTCAGATCTGATCTCTACTAGTGCCTTTAGCATTCATCTCTTGTTTCAAAGGGGATATCCCATTCTTGTTACTTGTTAGTGTTATTGTTTAATTTGATTCAGGCTGTCTTTGTTCTCCATTTATATTCATTCTGTCTTTGAGATTATTAGGAATGGATTCCACTTTCCAGGATTTTGATTTGAAAAGTTAGAGGTTGTGCATTCCAGTGATGTATTGGACAACTCTTCTGTTTCAAGTCCTTGCTGCCATAATTGGCGGGGATAGTTTTTATAAGAACAGCTTTTTTTCAGTCTATCTCTAAATGGAACACTTACTATCTGCAGTCTATGTCTTACCGGTTATCCTTAATAAGCAGTCATTGCTTGAAATTCTGTTCAATTTGATTATAATCTAATTCAAATTGGAAATCTTCCAGGCAGATGGTCAATCATCTGTTGTCTTGAAGCAGCAGATTTTCATGGAAAAGGATAGAGAAGTGCTTAAGGCTGGTTGTACGGGGGATATTCAGATTGAAGAAAAGATTCAGAGATTGCCTGCGGGTGGAGGATGGGAGAAAAAAATGAAAAGGAAAAGATCAATTGGAGTAGGTATTACTAATAGAGCCATAAATGGCGAGCAAGATATGAAAAGAGACACGCAAAAGCCAAATGCTGATACCAAATTGCGATCTTGTGATGCTCTTGGTATAAGGTAATCTCTATACTTCTAGTCGGACAAGTTCTGGTTTTGTGATTCTGCTTTCTGTATGACATTACTGATGAACTGGAGCATATCCCAATTGTAAGTATTGAGTTATTTATATTATTTAGATTAAAAATTAATTTGTGTTCCATTTTTGTGAAGCTGCTTTCCATAGATGGCATGCTGTAGCTTTGTGAATTTGCTATGTGTACTTTTTTGCGACAATTATATTAGTAAGGAAAAAATAATTAAAAAAAAAAAAAGAATTCTTCTTGGTGTGGGAAAACACTTAAACAATGAATAAGTTTGTGTACATTTGATTTATAATGCAGAGTTAGGAGTGGAAAAGTTATAAATGGTATCAGACAAGGTTTTTAGAGATGTGAGCTTGAAACAATAGATGCACTGAATATCAGAAAATTAGTACCAGCATGATATATATATATATATATATATATTTCTCTTAGGGTTTCAGTGTGGTCATTTATAAATGAAGAAGATCAAATAAATGTAAAAGAATTCACTGAATCATAGTTCGTTTGCTTGTCAAAGTTTTCATGACAGGAAAATGTAATGTAACAATTATTTATTTTTTGAGCAGCAACAAAATAACTGAAACAAAGATGAAAACAAAGGGAGGACAAGAAGTACTCCTACAAAGTCAGAAAATACAAAGCTAAAGACCAAAGAAACAAAACTACGACATATAACGACCACCACTAAGTATGGCAAACAGCAGCCCAATCCCTAGAGATCAAAAACAAGGGCATGTCCTTGAAAGGGGGAGACACACAAGCCCAAACTGATGCCAAATGTCTCACCCTAAGCTTCCTCTGTTGCTTCCTTCTCGTTAAAAATCCTATCATTTCTTTTCAACCAAATGATCCTAAAATCGCAAAAACAATGCAAGACCAAAATGTTTTGGCCTTCCTATTTTTTCCAAACCCTCCATAGAAAACTAGCAATATGGGCATGCACTCCCATGGAGTAACCACTGTACATCACACAAACCAAAGAGTCGCTGCCAAAGTGCAAAGGCCATCGGGCAGTGTAGAAATATGTGGTCCGCTGATTCTGCATCCTTCTTACACATTATACACCATTGAGGACTAATAGCATGATTGGGCCTTCTCCTTTGGAGCATATCAATGGTCATGACACTTCCATGAACTAAGGGCCACATGAAGAATTTCACTTTATAAGGAACAACAGCTTACCAAATTTTTTTGTGGAAAGGAAATAAAAGAATAGAAGTACATCTATAATTCAGTCAAACATAGATTTACATGAGAAGACTTCTGACGAATTGATGTTCCATACCCTCCTATCTTTCCTTTGAGGTCAGGCAAAGACAACAAAGAAACCAACTCAAGTGACTCCCTATTACTGAGATACATGATGAAATTGAAGTTTCAAGAAATTGGTGCTAGGTTAGAACACGCCACTGACACAATTGAAACATTCCAAACTCGAACCAATTGATACAGGAGTGGAAAGACTCTATTGAAAGAGGACTCCCCCACCCACCCATCCTCCCAAAATCGAATACTTTACCCATTTACCACTTTCAAAGACAAGAATGAAGACACGATAGGTAGTAAACAAGAAATAGATTTCTATGGTGATTGACATTTGCCTCTATTAACCACAACAGAATCTATACCATTGGCCTGAACATCATACTTGCTTTTAATGATGGAGTGCCACAACGAATCGCTTTCGAGTGGAAATCTCCAAAACCACTTGCTTAAGAGAGCAATGTTTCTTGTAACAACATTTCCAATAACAAGACCCCCCTTATTTCTAGGTCAACCTTCCATTTAACTAAATAAAACCTAAACCCCTCATCACATCCTTTCTACAAGAAATCCCTCATTAACTTCTCAATCTTTTTGGCAATCCTAACCAGGATCTTAAACAAAGAAAAGAAATACATAGGCATGCAACTCAACATAGACTGCACCAAAGTATATCTCCTCATGGACTGCACCAATGTATGTCATGGTTTAGACAAAGGTGCATTCTAGAGAGGGCAGGGTGTCAATAGAGTAGCAATAGCTTGTGGCTATGCAAACAATGGCAGTGGTTTGGAGAGCTTACCGGAGAGATGGGAGTGGACACAATGATAGATCGTCAGCATAGTTGTCAAATTGGGATTCGTATCGTGAATCGAAATGGTTTCGTACCGAATCGCGAAGCGAATCGAATCGAATTGTGAATCGTAAAGATTCGGTCACTTCTTCTAAATTATTTTAAAACATGTATTTACATATTTAGATGTTAAATATATCTTATGAATATAAAATATTTAGACTTAAATAAATAAAAATGTTATTTTGAATGATAATTACGTAGTTTAATAAGTAAGAATAATACAAAATATCAATCTTGTAAATATCAATCTTGTAACAATCAATACATCAATAAATAATACATCAGTTTATTTTTTACAAAAAATATTTCTTATCAACCATTCTTAATAAAAATAATAACCAAATAGACAAACTATCAATTTCTAAAGTAACAATAATTAACAACGATACTGATATTTGGACAATAAGCATACATACTTTTCTAAGTAATAGTGAACAAATAATAAGAAATAATCATTTAGAATCCTTTTTTTTTAAAACCTAAAATATTTTAAAAAGTATAACTAACCCCATACATGTAATATTTAATTTAATAAAATAGCAATAGATAATTCATAGTGTAATTTTAATTTTAAACATCTTTAGAAGATATATTACGATTTTTAAAGGGAAAAAAAATGAGAAGAAAGGTTAAAAATATGTTGGGTCTGAGTAAATCTAATTGAATTTTATTAAAAACTTCATAATCACTAAAATAACAACAAGTCATGTATATATGTTGGTTATTTTAGTATTAAACGCTATTAGAAGTTGTATTATGTCATTTTTACTAAAAAGATGGAGAAAAAATAGAGTCAAAAATATGTTGGACACAATAATTTTAAAAATTGCATGAATCGTAAAAAGTGAATTGATTGTGAATCGTGCGATTCACTAGAGATTTACTTCCAAAATAGATTCACTCTTAGATTCGTATCGATTTTGCAAAAATTGCAAATCGAATCGTGAATCGAATCACGTATCGTAAGATTCTGATAAGAGAGATCGTCAGATGTGGGGCTGCGGGAAATTATTTTTTTTTTAATAAATAAAGAGTAAATTTAGAAAGAGAGCATCAAGATGATGCTAACAAAACAAACAGGGTCACAAAACCTACATCTAGACAAATAACGAATCAATAAACTTCATAAAAGAAAATAAATCCGGCACCACTCTCCCCAACACCCCAACTATACAATACCACCAAAAACATATTCTTCAAAAAAGGAAATGAAACCGTAAACCCTTGAAAAGCCTGACGATTACGCTCCAACCAAACCAATCACATTACACACAAAGGCGCAAGATTTTGGAGAGGTTGGAGGATATGAGATTGTTGGGGTGGATATAGAAATCCTATAAATTCATTGCAATGGGTAATCCTAACAAGTTTGTCAAGGCTCCTACGTATATGGACTAGAAGTGGGTGCACACACTATGTGTGTGTTGACATTTGTCTAAAAGAATTGAATCTGAAACAATTGAATCTCATAATGGCAGTTATTTGAAGTAGTTAGATAGCAGTTACATGGTGAAGGGTATTTTGGAGGGGGTGAAAAAATCCTGTGACATCCACACCAACTCAAGACTTGGCTTTTTATAATAGTATAGATAATATAGATATAGAAATCCTAAGTGAACAAGGAACCAAATTCCTAAATATGTCACTTATCATGTGTCAATTGAACGGTTCAACACTATGTTCAAATGGTGAGTACACTGTGAATATATGCTCTGTTTCTTCAAAATAGCGAGGCCTGCATTTGAACGGTGAATATTTTGGAACTCAACCACAAAAAATATTTTGTGTGTTTGGTTTCAGTTTTATGAAAATTGAATATTTTGTTTTTTGTGTTTTTTTTTTTGTTTTTAGTGAATATTTTTTAAATTTTAAGCAATTTTGTTCTTTTTTACATTTTTAGATGCACTTTACTTAGATGTATCTAAATAGTAAAATATTTGTGAAAAAATATTTTAAAAAAATAATAAATACACAAAAATACAAAAAAACGTACTGAAATTTTGTATTTATTATTATTTTTTTTGGTATTTAGTGTATTTTTTTTTAAAAAAATTCACAAATATTATACTTTTTAAGTGTATTTATGTTAGGTGTGTCTAAAAATTAAAAAAATTTGCTTAAAATATTAGAAAAATTCATTGAAAACATTAAAATACGAAAAATAAAAAAGTAGAATTTTCTGAAAACTGTTTTATGAAAATCAGAACCAAACAAGCTGATTGGCATTCTTGTTTAAAAAATTGCTCCATGTGTTTGAATGCGCATGGCTTTGAAGCTATACATACAAAATGCAGTTGTTCATACAGGGCTCAATGATCAAGTCTATGGGTTCTAAAAGTCAAGCCCAATAGCTAATCTAGCCTATAATCCAAAACTAATCTAACTATGGTGATGATCTCAACAAACTCAAACCCAAAAGTCTAATCAAAGATAAAACCTTATATTGATGATAATGCAATGCATGAGTTTCACCTATCGTTGGTGTAGAACCTGTCCGATCAAAAGTCTGGAGTTGAAGGAGAAGTCTTCTTGAATGATGCTTCACTATGGAGCATGGTCAAGACTCAACTAAGCCTAAAAGTAGAAATTAAAGTCTGTCAGACTCGAACTTTGAAATGAAATTGCAAATAGAAAAATGACTAAGAGGTAACTTGATGTTTTTTGTCACAGAAGAAAATTTATTAATTGAAAAATGAAGCAAAGATATGGGATGCGTATGAACAAGCTGATTCCACAATCCTTGTTACTAGTAGAGAATTTGAAGGAATAAAAAGTGACGACAAGCATGATGTTGTCAGATGTTTGCTGTACAAATCCAGTGTTGAAAACAATATGCTTATGGTCAAGCAAACTTTTAAAACATCTTTTTGTGAGAAACATTTTAGTGAGGCTTAAGCATTTTCTTTTGTTGTTCTTTAGTGGGAATTGAGGTAGGAAATCTCGTCTTAGATTTCTTAATTTTTCTTAAATTGTTGCTCTATGTGATTTTTGTTCTATCTTGCATGTACATGAGGATTCCCTTTTCTCTTTCAATGATAAGAAAATCTTGTATGCAACATCAATAACAATAAACGTATGATTTTGGGCTCGTTTGGGAAGTTGGCTATTTTAGTTGGCTTTTTGGTTATTTTAGCCTGGCTAAAAAAGTTGTGTTTGGGAAGTTGGTTGGCTGGCTTTTTTTGTAGTTGATTTGATGGTTGTGAGAGAAAAAGTGAATTGATTATGGTTTGGATGTGACATTTTGTCTTATTGGCTATTTTAGCTTATTTTGTCTTTATTGGCTATTTTAGCCCAAAATTGTCTTCCCAAACAGGGCCTTTGTACGACTTGTTATGACATTGGGGAATTTTTTTCCATTTAATGGTGTATAGACAAAGCGCTGTTCTATACAATAAATTAGGATTCCTTTTATAATGAAATTTGTAATTAAATGGTTTTTATAAAAAATAAGTATTGTAGTTAATGCGTGGATACGATGTCTAAATTAAAATAATTACAGCTAAGATAACTATTGTTAGGGTGATATATTATAAACATAGCATAAGGAAATTTTGAAACCTCGTTTGATCTCCACCTGCTCACAGTCATTATTTAGGGCTTCCTTCGCTGCTGCGATCTATCACTCAAAACCTTCCTGACCCCCCCATCTAAACAGCAGTCCCATCTTCCATTCAAATTTAAACTTTTGACATTAAAAGTTTGGTAAATGTATGGTTGGTTAGAGAAGAGGAAGAGCTAGAACAGCTAGGGTTCCACTAGCACCTAATTGCTAGCTTCTCTAAATATGGTGAGTTTCTATGCTTCTTCTCTGAACATGGTGAGTTTCTATGCTTCTCTTTTGTTGTTATTTTCTTTGATCTGACAAACCTTGTCTCCCATCGCACACCTAATGAGAGTTGGTATGAAAATTTCTGACATCGGCATGTCATTCACTTGTTTGGTTTGAAGTTGTTTTTCTTTGAATTTCACATATGGTAGGATGTGTTCTACACTTACTGTCCCAGAAGATTCCTTTTTAACAGAAAAATCATTTGAAAATTTGGAGATTCTGTGTGTGTGCGCGCGCTTGTTCCTTTTTATGTGCCCTCTTATTAGGTGAACATTTTAACGATCAAAGGGAAAATTAATCAGAGGAGCTTAATTTAACTTTTGCTCTTAATGTATAAATCAACTAACTGAATTTCAGGAAATTACATGGCCGCAGGGTTTATTATACCCACAATGTATAAAAAGAAAGAGAATTACCAGCCCAGCCAAACCAAATCAAACCAAATCCAACTAAGCCTTGTATCCCAATCAAGTGGGGTTGGCTATTTTTCGAAAATTAGGATCTGTTTTTTCTGGAAAATAATTTTGCAACTTATTGTCATTGATTTTATTGAATTGATGTAGCTAATATTCCTTAGTAAGTTTGCAACACCTTTACTCTTCTGGCAGTGGTGTTATCTGAAGGACCACTTGAATTAATCTTGGAGAATCTGAGAGTCCCAACTTCTTATTGTAAGAAATAAATTCTTTTGTAAATTACTTCTATATTTGGTACCTAGTTAAGACCATGTCACATGGTATCGGAGTTGAATGTTCCGCAGGGATGGGTAGGGTGTGTGTCCTGGGCCCTGCACTCTTTGCATGAGAGAGGTTATGAAGCGAAGTCCCACATTGCTTTGGTACAAAGGGGATTGTACATGCTAGTTTTTGGGAATGAGTTCTACCACCCAAGTCCGTGTCACAAAGGGAACTGAGTTATCAAACAAAACTTATATTTGTGTATTCACAGGCACAGTAATATTGAAAATTTTACGCTGTGTATGACATAAGTTCTGACAGAGCGATGATGACCAGCTTGACAAGGCTTGTTTAAGCTAGCAAGTTTTATGCCTTGAGCTTGGTTGAGATCTAATACCTTGTGAATATGCTTTATCATGTATAAGTTATTCACTATAGATCTCCATGACAGTTAATTATGGGACCTTTAGTGAACCCGAACCCCCTTAATGTAACTGAGTGTTTCTGGAGTTCATTGGGTATGGCTCTCCGCTGACCCCTTGAAGTGCTTTTATTAGTTTACCTCAACTGGCTCTTGCAATTACTGGCCCGAGACTAAATTTTCCATTTTCATCCAATATGCCATGATTATCATTTATGTAATTTTTTCTTTCCTCTGCAATTTATCCTCTTAACTAGGTTTTTTTGTCTGCTTCCATGTTTTGCTGTTTTCACTCAATGTTTGGACATAACTTGTATGTTATATACATTTATCAAAAACTGCAATTCGAAATAAGGCAGGTAGGAGTAGGGGGAATATTTTTTCCCCTTGTGTTATTTGATTCTATGCTGTTGCAGAGCAAGATCTTCACCAGGATTGAGTGGAATTGACAAGTTGGATGAGTCTTTTGAGCCTGTTAGTTCGCAGTCTTGTACAGTACTGAGGAATGAACTGGAAACTGTCCCTTCTCCAAAGGACCGTACAACCATCTTAGAGGAAAGGATTTCAGTTAAGGGTATCAATAAGTATGTATTTACTTTCTCTATTTAATCTTTGTCAGTCTCCAGTAGAGTTGCAGAAATAGTTAAAACTTTCAAGATTGAAGACCACAAGTTATGTTTCCTTTTGCCTGGACAATTTGTTTTGCACGTTTTTCATTATAGTGATGTGGTGATTAATTCATTTTCTACCTTATTTTTCAGGCTCAGTATCCACAAGGAGAAGCCAGCAGGCAGTCCCAGCACTGTGACAAAAGGGAAGGTTTCTAGAGCTCAAAGAACAGGTTCTATCATGAATATGGAGCCCTCTCCTCAAGGTCATCCCTCATCTGGAGCTCGTGAGGGCTCGGAACTACCTACAACTGAAAATAAAGTTCCACCATTAGGCATGACAAATAATCACAAGCGTCCAATGTCTACAGGTTCATCTGCTCATCCCATGACTCATTGGGTTCGCAAGAGACCACATAAAATCTCACGCACAAGGAGATCGAATCTTGTTTCTCATGTCATAAACAATGATGAAGACCAGATCTCATCTCAGGGCTTTGCAGCATCTGATCTTAGCTCTAGATATTCTTCTCATGTGGACAACAATAACCCAAAGTTAAAAATGAAACTTGGGAGTATTCCATCTCCTATTGGATTATCTGAAGGTGAAGAGTCTGGAGGTGGGGGAAGCCAATTGAAAGGAAAAGGCGCAGATAATGGCGAGGTTTCTGTAAATGCAGATCATAATGATGGGCCTTCTATATTGCTTTCAAGGAAGAACAAAATACCTGTTAAGGAAGAAATTGGAGAAGATATTCATAGTCAAGGAAAAGTTGGAAGCTTTTTGTCCTCAAGTAAACCAGTTGTCACTCACACAAGAGAGGAAGGAGAAAAGTTTTCTACAACAAAGCAACTTCAAAGCATCAAGCGTGGTTTTGACAAGAACAAAAGGTTTTGAATATTTTTTCTTAGAATGTTAAAAAAATTTCAAGATGTACTTACTTTTTTCCTTTGCACATTACTGTCAACTAAATTTTTTGTTATCTTTTTATATAGTAAATCGGGTCGTCCACCTTCAAAGAAGCTGAAGGATCGTAAAACTTCTACTCGTGCTGGGCTAGTGTTAAATAGTTCTTCAGACTTTACAGGTTCTATTAGCATTTCAGTCAACCTGTGATTGCAAAATAATCATGTTTGGTTTGGTTTTCAAAAACTTGTTTCCGAATTTTTTTCAAAAAAACTAAAAATTAATTTGGTGAAAGAAATAAAAAAATCAAAAACACTTTTTATTTTTATATAATTTTATCTTTTGGGAGGCCATAAATAATTTTTAAAAATTTAAAAATATCTATTTGATATTTATTTTTATCAAATTAGTTTCTATTTTTTTAAAATAATTTCGAAAATTTGTTTCTGAAAAGAAACCAAACATGGTGATCAACAAAATCTAATGTATGTTGACCTGAACTAAATTGCATTTCAGGTCTTTGTGGTCACTGTTTCAGTTTTGTCTATCTATGACATTGATGCTAGTGTGTGTGTGTGTGAAGTGAAATATTTTAGAAATAAAATCAGTTTATTTCAAGGACCATTGATTGCACCACTCTGTGATCGATTATAATCATTATAAAAATTCTTTCACAAATTTAATAAGATATGCAAGCACACACAATTAAATATGATTGTTCACTGTTCAGTGCTCTCCATTGCCCTCACCTCATACTCAAAATACTCGAGACTTAGAAGCCTAAAGTATAGGGTGTGTTTGGTTTGTGTTTTGAGATAAATTTTCAAAAAAAAATAAATTTGGGGAGAGTTTAGAAATTTTTTTGGTTTGTTTGGTTGCATATTTTGAAAATAGTTTTGAGTTTGGGAGTTTGGGATAATTTGATATTTTGTTGTAATTGAGTAGATGTAGCCGACCCCATTTGATGGGACTTAAGGCTTTGTTTGGTTTGGTTGTAATGAAGTAGATGTGTGTGAGAGAAAAAGTGATTGAGAAGGGGAGAGGAGAGAGAAAAAGTGATTGATTGATATGTAATAGAGAGAGAAAAGTAATTTTGGAGTTTTTTTGAGAAAATTTGTAACCAAACACGTTTTTGGAAATATTCTTCCAAAAACATATTTCAAAACACAAACCAAACACACCCATAATCTCTATAGCAATCCCCATATGTAGCAGTCCAAGGACGACTGGAAATAGCTCTCAAGAAAACTTATATCAACAAGGAATAAAAATCCTTAAGAGACTAGGAAGGACTTCCTCAAAAAACAATGTGTTTAAATGGTAGTGTGTGTTCGAACTGTGGCATTGGTGAAACCAAGTTGTAAAACAAACTTCAAACCCAGTAGACTTAAGTGTTCAAACAAATTGTGGCAGTGTTGGAACGATGAAGCTACGAGTTGTTCACTCTCCAAATGCTATGACAGAAAACCCGTTCTTGTTTGGTAGTGTGAACGTTTGAACTTGCACGATAGTGTTTCTTTACAAATTTTAAGTCCGAAAAGGCTTAGTGAAAACCAAACCAAGGGGGTCCTATGAACAACATACCATGAATTAACTTAGCCTATTACAAAGCTAAAAAAAACTCCAAGCAAAAAATACTGGAATAATACCCAACCCAAGTGTGTGAATGCACATGCATGAGTGCATTATACATGAATAACTATGAGATTGTTATCCTTGAATTTTTTAAGCCATTCTTTCGAGTATGTTGAGTCTGAGTCAAGGTTTACTTAGTCTTCATCGAATTAGAACTGAAATTGCTCAACTGCTCAGCTAAGCCTAAAATAAATAAAATAAAATTACTGACTCAATTTTGAATTGAAATTGCTAAACAAATAAAAAATAAAAAAAAAACTGAAGACTAATAACTAGTGAAACTAAAACATTTTTTTCCCTAACAATGTGTCCTTAGATCTTGCGTCCATGGCCTTTTTAAATAAAAATTTCCTACTTTACATCTTTTACAACTACTTATATTTCTATTTGTTTGGTGGTAATTAAGAATGAAAATAGATGAAATGTAAATGGAATTGCTCATGGTTGTCATTGGAGCTTCTTGGAAACATTTATAATGTATGTGACATACTATTTTTCAGGTGAATCAGATGATGATCATGAACAAATATTAGCTGCTGCAAATGCTGCTCGTAAAGCTAGCTGTATGCATCAGTCTCTTATATATATATATATATATTTTTTTTTTCTCCATTTTTTACGGGGAAATGATTCTTACTGTAACTTCTTTTGTAGACCTTGCCTGTTCGGGGCAGTTTTGGAAGAAAATAGAATACATTTTTGCTTCCGTCAGCTCACAGGACACATCATACCTGAAGCAACAGGTACTGTAATACTCTGTGTTAATGAATACATAGTGGTTGTTGTGACTTACAGATGCTGAATAGTTTTTTTTTTTATTTAATTATTTTGATATTGGAACAGCTTTCTTTTGCTGAGGAGCTAAATGAGAGCCTGTCTCGGATGTTTGGTGATGAATATAATACTTCGGTACTTAATTTGCATTATGCTACATCAGCCATTATCTTGATCTTTATTAGTTAGTTGTGGACATCCACTACAAAAAAATGTTTATAAATCTTGGACTAAACTGAAAATTTTGTCGAATTTAGGGTACGATATAGCTTATCTTTTTAATGGAATGTGATTTAATTGTAAAGTTATTTTACTCTCTCAGGGTGCTCTCAATCATGAAGAAGTTAATTATTATTCTCGTGGAACACATGGAGTCTGCTCAAATCAAGAATCATCCGAAAGTGATGCATTTTGTGAAAGAGTTGACATGGGAAGGAAACTGGACAAAGTTCCTTCACTGTTTCAAAGGGTTCTCTCTGCTTTGATTGAAGAAGATGAAAGTGAAGAATTTTACCACCAGAATGATGGGATAAATATATCCTTTCAGTGTGCAAGTGATGATTCACATTGTGGTTCGTGTAACCATATTGATGTTGAGCCTAAAGATAGGGACAGAATGGAATCTGAAGTTGAGTCAGAAGCGGGTCTGCAGATTCAGAAGCATTGCTTTTTGGACAGATTTTCTTGTAATAAGAGTGCTTCATCTAATACATATAGTAACCGAAGTGTATCCAGTTCTTTATGTAACAATGAACAGTGGCAAGCAGACGATGGTTTGTCTCATTTAGATTCAGGATTTGTCTCTAGGATTCCTCAGAATGCTCTGAGTGTGCCACATCCTACACAAACAAATGTGTCTGATAGTTCTTCCGTACACTGCCAGTATCAGATGCTGTGCTTTGATGACAGATTGCTTCTGGAGCTACAGAGCATTGGCTTGTGTCCTGAGACAATGGTATGCTTTTATCGCTTCACTATCATAATCTCGTAGTTGAGTAACGCCAGTACTAATTTTTTTTTTTTTTTTGTGTGTGCGCTCATGCGTGTATGTGTGTAGTTCTACTTATGTTTGTGTGCCTTGCATCCTTGTTACAGACTGATCTAGCAGCGGGACAAGAAAGGATTAATCAAGATATTATGGAACTCCAAGGAGGCCTGTTCCAGCAGGTTGAATGCTTTAATTTCCTGTTCATCTGTTTCAAAAGAGTTGAGCATTAGTTAGGAGTCAAGTCCCACAAAAAATTTCCCCATTGTTATCTGGTTTTCATCTTGAACACCCTGGATACTATCATTTTGTCTCCTATTTGTTGCCTCTTAAAATACTAACTATTTTCTTTCTCTAATTTTTTGTGGTCAATTTCATGATAGGTGGGAAGACTTAAGAAAAATTTGGGGGAAATTGATAAAGCTATTCAATATGCTAGAGATTTGGAAAGACGGTAAGACTAGTAATGATTTGGATGTGTTTCTGCTGATGTATGGTTTCTTTTTCCATCATGAAGAATATGGTTTGGTTTGCAGGGACATCGAACAGGTTGCAATGAACAAACTGGTTGAGATGGCTTACAAAAAACGCATGGTAATTGCTTCTATTGCTTCATTGAACCACTTCCTTCAAGTTTGTAATGGAAGCCCTTAATGTATTTCCACTTTTGTCTTACTCTTTGTACATGGATGGATGGTTATTCTAGATTCATAATTCAACAATATCAAATTTATCCAGTATTATGGTTGAGATGGATTGTGTGTGTGATTCCTTCTTGTGTTGATACGTTTTGCATTGATTTTGGTGGTTTTGGTTTTAATCTGATGGCCCGTACCCTTTGGGGATGTATCGTTTGTGCGGTTATGTGGTCCATTGGGTTAAGAAAGGAATTGAAGAGTGTTTGAACATAAACTATAGGATTTAAGGGGTTTATGAAATAAAATCTACTATTTGGCATATTTTGGGGTTTCATCAACACCCTCTTTCAAGAGAATTTCTTTATTTTTGATTTCTAGAGATTGAAAATCTGTGTGTGTGATACAACCCCAAGGGGTTGGCCTAGTGGCAAGGTCTTGGGTCTTGGGGTTGTGTTCTTTCCAAGGTTTAGGATCGAAACCTCTTAGATGCTAACACTTCCTTGGGCCCATTTGATTGAGGGAAAACTCTTGAATTAACCATGGTGCAGGAAACTCCTTGCTGAGGCCCTATGCCCCCCCCGGGAATTAGTCAGGCTTTGATCCGGACACCCCGGTGCCATTAAAAAAAAATAATGTGTGTGATATATAATTTTTCAATTTTTCCTTTTATCTTGTACCTGGTAGAGTTCTTGTCCTACTTGTTATCTGCTGTATCTCTTTTTCTTTGATATTTAATAAATTTTTCTTTGTTGCTGATAAACACTTGTTAATATAAAGTTAATTAAAAATGCGGATTTATGTATGCTTAAGTTAATTAAAAATGCGGATTTATGTATGCTTACACATTTACAGTAAATTAGTTATGTATCAGCCTTATGTTTACTCGTAAATTGCTAGTAATATTCTGTAATGTATGTATAAACATTTGTTAAACCTTACAGTATGTGCTCTTAAATTAAATTATATAGAAATCCTCATATATGATTATTACTAAGTAAAAGATGAGAATTGTCATATGTAAATTGTGTGACCTTGTAAGTTTGTTGAAAAGATCATACATAACTGACGTATTTGTCTGAAGAAGCGCCTACAATTGAACCAAGGTCTTTCATTTAGATAAAACCCACTAACTTTTCCAACCCACTAATTGCAGGCTTATCGAGGTAGTAATTCTTCAAAAAGTGTGATTCGTAAGGTTTCGAAACAGGTTGCCTTGGCTTTTGTCAAGCGTACTCTTGCTAGATGCAAGAAATTTGAAGATACAGGGAGGAGTTGCTTTAGTGAGCCTCATCTACAGGGTGTTATCTTCCCTGCACATTCATGCAACAGTGATGCACAATCTATTGATTGTGTTGCCTCAGGGACTGCTAGTAATACATATGATGAAGCTTTCAACCATAAAGCCGAAGCCAAGAGTTCAGGTATGTCAATTAGATCTTTATGTGGTTGCTATCATATTGGTTTGCTGTTTTCATTCTACTTGAGAAAGTAGATTATCAAAACTCTATAACGGGCTCTGGGCCCTGTAACATTCAAAGTTCAGATGTTTCACCATTGCTTGTGTTACTGTGCACTCTGTTTGGTTTCGTTTTCAGAATCTGTTTTTTGTTTTATTAAAAACTAGTTTGGTGAAAATAAACACTACAAAGATATTTTTGAATTTTCAAAAACTATTTTTCCACAAACAAAGAAAACAACATGAAATGATGAGTGTTTTTAATTTTCCATTGTTTTTTCACCAAATTAGTTTTTAGTGTTTTTCAGAAGGAAAAGCTTGAGACCCCTTAATTTACCCACCATGATGTTAATTATCGATTGGTTTAAAAATCAACGACCTAAGACCCACCCCTCTGGCAAATTATTAGGGCTGAATTTAGGGATCTCTAGCATTTCACTTTCAGAAAACAGATTTTGAAAACGAAACCAAATAGAGTGAAGTTTGAAGCAGCTTTTGCAACTTCAAAGCTGTTTTACTAGTTTTTAACAAAAAAAGTGTTATGGTTATCCTTTGCAGCCACTGGTGCAGTCTGCAGTACTTTCAAGAGACCTGATTCTCGAATTAATAATGCGGATCGAGGTTCTTCAGATGCATTGGGTGCTATCAGTCCATCTGAAATTGGTCTTTTTAAGCAAGAACCCATTTTAAACAAGGGCGACAAAAGGGAAGTTTTGCTTGATGATGTTGTTGGCAGTGCTTTCCCAAAACTCTCAGTTATAGGCAGTAAACCCCACTGCTGGGTGATGGAAAAGAACAATGTGAGAGATAAGGAGCAAAACAGAGATATATTACCTAGTGATTCTGTCTCTGGATTTGGTTATCCATCACTAGGCAGCTTTAGGAGCGAGCAAAAATCAAGAGCAAAGCCGAAGCAACAAACAAATCATTTGCCAACTTCAGGAAATGGACTGCAGGCTAGTTTTATGGGGCTGCCAGCTGCTGTTAATGTTCCTCGGGATTCATCTAAAGAGGCAGAAAAAACAATTGATTTTGCAAACTTACAGCTAAATGAATTAGATTCTATCGAACTACGTGTGCCCAATGAGCTTGCTGGGCATCAAGATCTGAGTTCTTGGTTGAACTTTGATGAAGACGGTTTGCAAGACCATGACTCTATGGGTCTTGAAATACCCATGGATGACCTCTCAGAGTTGAACATGCTTATTTAAAGGCCATCTACAGTTGAATATGGAAAACTATCAGCAAGTATGTAACTAACTGGTCAAGCTGTGGCACACAAGTCAGAAATTGTAATTGTTGGTAGTACATTCTTTGGCATAGTTTTTTGAAGGACGTAATTGAAATATCCTACCTTGGCATTGTGTGAAATTCTGCTTCAATTTAATTTACAACAGAAATGTTGAGGCCTCTGAAAGTTGAATGAATATATTTCATTACTCTTCATTATTCAAGGTTTTGTTTGGTTAATTAATTTTTTTTTTGCACCATTGACTAATCAAGTTCAAAGATATTCTTCTGTTTCATTGTTACAGCAACTAGACGATCCCTGTTCTTTCTGGGAAAATTCCGAAATTCTTTTCCTCCAGGTATGTCAGAACGAAGATGCGTGTAATTCTTACCTCGCTTTTCATTTTCCTATGCAATGATCATCTCCTGCACTCTCTCCATGAAAATTGAAAAAAAAAAAAAAAAAATCTTCTTCCATGAAGTATCCGATCAAATGTTTGTTTTTAGTATATTGCATTGTTTTCGAAAGCTATGTCTACCTTCATCATGAAGTAGCTTGCTTCTGCAGAACTTACTTTACCTGCTTTGTGCGAGTGATATGGTGAGAATTGGTTTATCTTGTGTTAAACTTGTTGCTATGCTACATTTCCCTGATTCATTAATTTTTCTTTTCTTTCTTTACGTGCCCGCAAATTTCTGTAGTTCATTAAACCACCTGAGCTAAAGAGGCAGGGTAGTTGGATAACTTGATTGTCGTGTTGATTTGGCATATATATATATATATAACTATATATAGATATTCCTTCCTGATTTTCAACCAGTGCATTGAATTCCTTGCCAATTTTCTCGGTCTTGGTCACCGCCTTTTTTCATTGTAGGTCAGAAGTTCAAGGAATGTCACCATACAAACTTGCGAAGGCAAGTTGTGTTGGATGATTTCTGCTTTTTCTCACGTTGGTTCATCAATTTAGATGGTTTCAAGTTGATTTTACTAGATGTTGTAGTCATCTTAGTTTTGTTTTGTACAGATGAATTGAACCTTTGGTGGTTTACCTCCTTTTTTTGTTGTTGGATGTTGTAAAATTCTTCAATTCTGTGGCTTCTAACACGGATTTTGATTTCATAGGTTCCGGGTTCAAGTTTTATTTAGCCTTGGATAATTAGGAACAAAAACTCATTGGAGTTTGGCATATGGGTTGTTCAAGTGTTGCTTCTATTTCTCCATGACCTTCTTGTTCTCCAACCCATTACATCGAAAAGTGTGTGCTAGTTCGGTTGTTTCGAATCAAATATGGTCCTGTTGAGAAAATCTTTTATATTGCCTTCTTGTCATTAAACGGTCAAATTGTTCCATAAATTTTATATGTTCCAGCCTTGAATGAAAGCCAATTTAATCATGACTTAGAAATTATGAATAAACAGCCATTTTATATCAATTTTGCTTCTGAAAAGTCAAATTACCAAAAGACAATCACGCCCCACAGTTGACAATGAGCACAATAATATAGAAAAATCGTAATATTAATCAGTTAAGTTTGAAAGATATTGAAGTATTACTTTTGTGAAAGGTCAATTGAGCTTTTGCAATCATGTTTTAATTAGTCAATGCCAATCAATTACAATTTACAAATATATATACATAAAGAAGTAACTAATAATGTTATGTACCATTCTTATAAGTTACTGTTTCTAGGCCCTTTTTGAAAAAATAGATTTAATTACCCGATCAAGATTCTCCTGTTTGACAATTACGATCATCAACCAAACCACTGCTTTGATTATCTACTTTTTACTCATAGCTAGTGGCAACAAATTTTCTTGGGTTATTTTGTTTAATTTTTGGTAAGTTAGAAGTTGATAATCAGAAAATAAAAATTAAAAGTATCTCTCAATTTTTCAATAAGTTATTTTTGTCTCCCAAACAGTATCTAGATATTGCTCGAGGTTTCTTGCATGTTTTTCTTATTTTTTTTCTTCTCTTATACTTGACACAACCCAACTCATGACATTTATTCATTAGTAAGCTAGTACAATTCAACATTCAATTGTGTTGGAACAATTTGTAAATAATCTATAAGGTTTAGAGGCCTATTTAACATAAATTACAAGTACATTGTCCACTTAATACAATAAAATCTCTGAATGAAGAACTGTAATCAGCAAAGTTGGACTTTTCACAAAATTGTTTTGTTTACAAGAACTATTATTTGTGAGAGAGAGAGAGAGATTGATTGATTGATTGTGATTAAAATGTTGGCCTGCAAGAGTTTTCTATATACACATAACTGTCGCTTTCAAAAAATACAATCTGTTGTATCATCTTAGGCCAAGTTTGGCAACTCTTAAAAAATCCAAAAAGTCAAAAAGTCACTATCCTATTTAAATCACATCATCTTATTTAAGTCACATCACCTCTCTAATACATCACTTCAAACCCGACCCAACCCAATCCATATGTCATAAAAAGTCAAAAAGTGCACTTATTTAGTCTTCCCAAACTTGGCCTTAATCTAGGCCGTTGATCAGACAATTCAAAAAAAACAAAAATATATCAACCAAGATTGGGCATGAATGGGATGCTTGAATGATTTCAAAAGCATCCTACATTTGACACAAAAAAAAAAAATAAAAAATAAAAAAATCATGGGTTCCTTTTTATTTTTTCATTTTTTTAAAACCTACTTAAAAAGTAATAAGGAAAGCAGAGCATTATTCTTTAATAAACCAAAAACCTAATCTGTAAAAAGACACCAGCATTATAATAACAACAATAATAATAAGTTCATCTATCTAATACCCAATTTATCTAATTTAAGTCTTCAAAATCACGCTGATAATGACTCATATTGCCAACCTCTTTTTAAATATATTTTTTAATTATATTGGGCTCATAATGGAATCAAAAGCTAAGAGTCCATAAAGTTTAATTTAAAATAATAATATCATCAACGAATTGCATTTTATTACTTGATGATGTCGTTGTCTTAAAAAGAAAATGAAAAGAGAACATCGCAATTTTTTAGACATGTACACAAAGCTTTAATGATAGTTTATATATTAAAATTAATTTTATTCTTGTATTTATTAATATGGATTCCACACTATCTTTGTGCATAATGATAAAAAAAAATCTTGTAATTTATAAATAAACAATATTTTGTACTCAATTTTAAATTGAAAGAAATCAATATCAATAATTTTAGTAATATAGATGCGTGAGTCCCATCATTTGTCTAACATCTATAGAATATATCTATATTCTTAGCACTCCTCAATCAGTTTTGACTAGAGCAAAATACTTGAGTACCTCTAATAAAGTGCTTGTCCCTTTGATTTTGGCTTATTTTGACATCTGAGTTAAAAGATAATTTTTTGACTTTTTTGAGTCACATAGCTCTCTATTTTTTTTGAACATTTTGTTTAAAAAAAAAATTAAAAAATTAACTTTTAATTTACTTTCCAAAACAAGGCATATCATAGAATTTTCTTCTATTTTTTCTTTCTTATTTTTAAGATTATATTTAAATATTGAATTTGACAAAGATATTCTATTTTTGTTTATTTTATTTTTTGCTTTTACAAATGCAAAAATTGAGTGTAAAAAAGTTGGATGAAAGAAAGTCAAGTGATGAGAAAAATTCAACAACAAATTCCCTCAAAAGCATGAAACCCATATGCACATTTATTTTTTAAAACTCAATATGTGTTTGTTTTCTGAAACATGCATTTCATTAAAAGATAAATTATTTGATAGTAGGATAAAAAAAAATTACAAAAACATAAAAAAAAAGAATAAAAAAAAGTGTAAATAAATTTGTAATAAGGTACAAATAAAAGGTTGTGCATATACTGTTAAGTAAGAGTGATGATACTCAAATATTTTATTAATATTTTTATCAAATGTCTCACTTACTTATAGAATCCACATAGAATTTACATAATGTGGATTCACACCATATAAATATTTAATAAAAATATTAGTAAAACATTTAGGGTTGCTAAAATTATAACTGATCCTTAAATGTATAACTGATCCTTTGTCTGCCATTGATGCAATTTGCATCACAAATAGACAATCTCTCTCTCTCTCTAATAGAATGAACCACCATTCATGAATAATGACCTCTTCATGCAAACGAAGAGCCCTTCTCTCTGTCCAGAAGTCTCACACAAATCCCTCTATCAACTTTTTTAGGTACTAAAATTAGAATAACAACCAACAACTTCATTTATATTATTATTATTATCATAATGTATAACCTCTTTCCACCAAATATTGGATCTATGGTTTAGGTTATGCTACCGTGCAAGGCCCATTAATATACAATATGTTGGTCGGTTTCTTTTCTCTTGTCCTTTCTTCATTAAAAAAATCACAAAATTACAAGCTACCAAAAATAAAAATGTAACCCAGGGTAGGTGGTATTGTGGTTAAGGGTTGGGGTTTAAGCCCCAAGATCACATGTTCAATTTCCTTCCCCTGGGCCAATTTCCTGGGCGAAACACAGTTGATTAGGAGGTTGGATTTCAAGTTGTCTAATCAGCATTTGGTGTGGGTTCAATACTCCTCCGCTGTGCGAGTCATGACTTAAGCGGAACTTGTCTTAGGAGGTCGGGGCAAGTTCCCAGGTTATAATCTCCTCGCTCGGAACGACTAACAGGACATCCTGACGATCTCTGCAAGGGGCGCTGCCTTGGACCTGCTGGAGGGTAGGGAGGATTTTCCTGTAACCAAAAATAAATAAAAAAATAAAAAATAAAAATGCATTCCAAAATTTTAAATTTATTGATTAAATTAATTTAGCTCTTGCGGATATCATATCAAATTTTAATTTGCATCTCCTATTTAAATTCTAAATATTTTATTGAATATTTTATCTAAGTACATAATATTTTTTTTCTGATAAGGATCCAACTTCTCTCTAGTTAGAAGGGGTTTACCTAATGGGTGTGACTTGAGGTCTGAGAGTAAGGATGAGCAAATAATTCGCAAAATTTACAATTCGATTTTGTTCAATCTAATCCAATAGATTTGGATTGATTTTTTGAATCTGAGATTCGATTTTAGATTGAAAAATTAAAAAATCGTGTTTCATGCATCGGCTTTGGATTACACTTTACGGTTCCGGATTACAATCGATCCGGACCGTATGCAACTTAGACTATATTCATATCATATATCCTTGATACATAAAATTGTATATCTTATATTATCATACCTTTT